TGGTTTTTGATACATGATACTATTTGAGGCATAACTAATAAGAATCCATGCATAATTGTCTAGATATTTAAATATGTTGTTAATAAAGCTGTATCTCCCCAGCTTTATGATCATGTTGTTTTCTTTTTGTTTGTTTTGTTTTTTTGAGGGGACGTTTAAAACCATAGCTTTTATTTTGAGTTGTTTTTAACAGTGCTTATTATATCTGACAGAAAGCAAAAATTAAAAATATTATTTTCATTATTTTTTCTTTGCCTAGTTGTATACTTTATTACAATATTTTAATGAATGTTTTGACTGGATATAAGTTGAAAAATTTTAATCTTTATTCTTAATTTCTTCATATTGATTTTATAGAAATTTTGGACTGTTGAATTGATGTCAACAATCTTCTCAGATAGGTTAGTAATCAATTTTACAGAAAAAATAATTAGGGTTAACTTGCTGATAGATTAATTGTATTTTTATTTAGTTAGAGTTTGGGATTTTATCTTTGAATAGCCTGGCTAACTGCTTTGAAAAGTTAATTTGGATTTAGATAGCAGGGCCTTTGTGAATTTTCATTTTGACTATTTTTTTTTTTTTCTTGTTAGTGTAGGGTACAGGTCTTTCTTACTTGAAATAGGATTGTTTATTAGAGGCATGCTTTTTCCATTATTAAGTCCAGCTCTGTCAGACCAAAAATTCATGCAAGAATTCTATTGGCAATTCAGAGCAGAGAGCAAGTGACTTGTGAGGCGTCGGCACAGTCGCCTCCCACCTCTACCTGTGCCTAAACTCAACTGGAGACACAAATTTTATCCGAGAACTCAGATTTTTCCCTCTTGTATGTAACTTCTGTATACAAGTTTATTCTTGTTTTTAGTTTTCACCCTATAATTCCTATTCTAATGGGACTCTACACTTTACCTTTATTGGATGCTACTATTTTTCTTTTTTTTAACTTCTCTAAAGTCATAGCATTGAGAACCAATATTTGGAAAAAAAATTATCTAGGTAGTTGTGTAAAGAACCCAATGTTTTGCTTTCTTCTTGTGTTATGGTTTGGATATGACGTGTCCCCCAAAAGCTTCTGTGTTAATGCAGGAGGTTAAATGATTAGATTATGGGAGCCATAGCCTCCTGAGTTCATCCTAATAAGAACTGAGTAGTAACTACACACAGGTGCTTCAGCATAGCTGGAGGAGTTAGGTCACTGAAGAATTGGGGATTGTATCTTGTTTCCTTGGTTCCTCCCTCTCTGTTTCTCACTGGCCATGAGGTAAACAGTTTTCCTCCATCACCACCCTTCCACCATGATATTCTGCCTCACCGTGGGTCCAGACCAATGGAGTTGGTCCACCATGGTCTAAATCTCTGAAACCATGAGCCAAAATAAACTTTTCGTCCTCTAAATTGTTCTTGACAGGTATTTTGATCACAGCAATTGAAAGCTGACTAACACAGAAATTGGTCCATTGCTGTGACTCACCTGACCTTGTGGTTATAGAAACTTTTGGAACTAGTTTGCAGAAGGAATTTGGAAATTTTTGGAGTGCAGACTGGAAAGGACTTAGAATGTTATAAGGGGAGCTTAATGAGGATTCTAGTGTGAGTTCAGAAGACCAGAATGCCAGTAGGAATATGGACAGTAAAGGCTGTACTCATGAAGTTTCAGAGGGGGAAGTGGTAATTCTATTGGAAATTGGACCAAAGTCCATTTATGATACATTCTTTCAGAGAGTCTATCTACATTTTACTCATGTCCTAAGTCTGTGAGAGGCTGAATTAAAGGTGATAGACTAAATTGGACAAAGGAAATTTTAAGGTAACAGAGCATTCAGGTGGTGGCATGTATATTGCTGTCTACTTGGGAGCAGAAAGCATAACAGAAGGATTTTTAAAACTTGCTGTTTGGCCAGAAAGTGAATATAAAATTGGGACCAAAGAATGTGTGGTTGATGAAGAGCTTATGGTCACTAAAGAGAAGTTAAATACATTGCATAGAGGCAGTAGTAAAGATGGCTTGAGAATCTCAGAAATTGACAAGGCCACATCCATCATAGGTTCAAGGGTATAAAAGTAAAAATTCCTTTGAGAAGAGGATAGTTGGAAATCTTTTTATACACAGGAGCTAGGAATGTTGTTTTACCATGCTCAGCCACCCAGGCATTAAGGCCACTGCAGCCACGGTGCCAGGGGACCCACCTACTGCTGCAGCTGGTAGCATATCTTGGAGTCATCCACATTCTTCATGAATGTAGGATACTGGAGTTAAGGGGTCATGGAGGCTTTCACCAAGATTTCAAAGGAAGCTCTGGGAGGCCAGGCAAAGTGTTGTAACAGGGTTGGAGTTCCTGCAAGTTGACCCTGACAGGACAATGCGTGAAGCTGTGAAGGTGAAGACAAAGTTGGAATGGAGACTCCCAGAATTAAGAGATGCAAGTAATGTGGACTGTCTGCTGGACAAAGCTGTTGACTGTGGAGAGAAGCCATCAGTCCTGCAACCAACAAGGCCAAAGAGACAGGGCTGCCCAAGCCCTCTGGAAATCATATCTTACCACCATGTGTCCCAAATGCCAGAAGTAGAAATATAGGAAATTTTGCCTGGCTGAGGTTTTGTCTTGTTCTGGTCTCATCCCTTCTTTCTATGCCCCTATTCCTCCCTTTTGGAATAGGAATATTTAATCTGTATCATTATATATTGGATGTATGAAACTTGCTTTTAATTTTTACGGGAGCTCAAAACCAAGAGTTTTCCTTGAGTCTCAGAAGGGACTTTGACCTTGTACTTTTGAGTAATGCCAACTCTTAAGACTATGGAGACTCTTAGAGATGACCTAAATACATTTTACTTTGTGAGATGGACATGGACTTTCTGGGGACTAGGAGTGGAATGTACCAGTCTGGATATGAGGTATTCCCCAAAGCTCCTGTGTTAATGCAGGAGCTGAAATGATTAGATATTTTGTGAGAGTTGTGATCTAATCAGTCCATTCTAATATGAATGTACTAACAAGGAGGTAACTATAGGCATATGGGGCATGGTTGGAGGAATTGAGGTCACTGGAAGAATGCCCTTGGAGATTATATCTTATCCTCTGGGCTCCTCCCTCTCTCTCCTTCCTGGCCACCATAAGGTGAGCAGTTTTTCTCCACTGCTGCCTTTTCACCATGGTGTTTTGCCTCATCTCAGGTCCAAAGCAATGGATTTGGCCAACCATGGACAGAACCTGTGAAATCATGAGCCCAAAATAAACTTTTCCTCCTCTAAGTTGTTCATGTTGGGTATTTGGTCACATTGATGAAAAGCTGAGTAATATATTATTATGAATTTAATTTTAAATAGTATTTCTTAAGAGATGGTAGGTATATTATCAAGACTGAGAGCATGGATTCTGGAGTAAGAGTGCCTACGTATATATTCAGCTGCCTAATGAAATGAGTTTCTTCATATAAACAGAATGATGTGAAGAAGAATCTGTATAATAAGTGGAATATAAAGTATAGAAAATAGAAGTTCTTCAGCATATTTCTGAGTTTGAAGGATTTGGGTTTTTTTTAAATGTTATGTTTTTTATAATATGTATATATATATGTTACACATAGACACAAACACAGAAATAACTGGTGCCTATAGGAAAAGAGTAGGTGGTAGAGATTTTATTTATATATATATATATAGATAGATAGATAGTATGTATTAAGATAAGATCTTTGAATAATAGAGCATAGAGTGCATGTTAAAGACACAACAAAAGCAGTATCACCAATCATGGTCATTTCTTAAATGTTTAATAAGCACCAGGTGCTAATTTCTTTTAGGATTTAATTGCTGGTTCCTCATATAAACTAGTTATATAATAAAGGATGCATTCTTTAACCTCTCTGTGTTCTGATTTTATCATATGAGGTATATATTAATATCCATTTTTTCTACCTAAATAGGATATTATTTGAATAAAAATGAGATAGTATAGTGGACTGATTAATGAAAAGCTATATAATCTGTGAGACAGTACATTGATAAATTATGTGGCCGCCATGGTGATTAACAGTTGATCTTGATTTCTAGTTGATTGATGTTATAAATGTGTTAGTAGCAGCTGACCTCTGTGATATTTATGATTTTATATGTTTGTAAACATATGTATCAGAATTTCTATTGATAACTAAGGGCTCTTGTGAAGTCTCTGTATGTTGATTGTTTCATATTGTCTTCCTACCATTCATGAATGTTTTCCTTTTTCTGTATTGTTGGTGTTTCTGCTGTGTCTGTGATTGATATTCAGTTGTCTCTGGATTTCAAATAATAGTGTGTGTATATATATATATAGTCTGTATTAAGCCCATACCTAGATACTTTTAATTGAGTGTTCTACCTATCAACAGTTTGGCAAGGTTATTTTTGACTGGAACTCTGAACTCACTTTACATTTACCTGTTTGTCCTCATTTACTGATTGAATTATACCCCACCACATGGTATAATATGTAGCTATTTTTGTATCCCTGGTACCTATCATATAGCAGGTTACAAGTAAGCAGTATTTATTTATGGAATGAGTACATGAACTAAGAAAGAATAGAAAGGGATATTTAACTGTCATATATCTAAGAATGTGATGATCCTAGGAACATCACATATTAGCTCTTATTTCTAAGAATCAAGAGAAGGAACTTCTATAAAAATAAAAACTGACCAAGGAAGGTAGATCCTCGAGGAAGAAAATATAATATAAAATTTGTTGGGGCTGGGAATATGGCTCAAGCAGTAGCGTGCTCGCCTGGCATGCGCGGGGCGCTAGGTTCGATCTTCAGCACCACATAAAAAAATAAAATAAAGATGTTGTGTCCACCGAAAACTAAAAAATAAATATTAAAAAATTCTCTCTCTCTCTTTAAAAAAATTGTTAAAATTTTTGCATATTTTGCCATTCTTAGTAGGTGTGGATAAAATATTCTAATTACTCTGAGCCTTATTTTAAAACTAAACTTAACGCATTATAATTTATTAAACAGAGGCGGGCTAGCAGAAAGACTAACCGGATTGCAGAACCGAGAGAGATCTGCCATTTCTTTGTGGAGACATGATTGTGTTTCTTACCAAAAGACAGTTTCAGGTAAGGCTTGCATTGCAACTGAGTTGGTGTAGAAAAGAATTCATTTTCTTCCAACATTTAAAAAAAAAAAAAAATTGCCATGCTATAAGTGGTATATAATGTTTACAACTTGGAATTTGAAGGCAAGCACACACCCATGAAACTGTCAGCACATTTTATGCCATAAATCTATCCATTATCTGCAGAAATTTCATTGTGTTGTCTTATCATTGCCATCATAATTCTTATGATAAGAATATTTAACATAGGATCCACCCTCTCAGCAAAAAAGTTAAGAATACAATACATTATGAGTAACTATAGGCAGTAAGCTGTACAATAGACCTCTAAGACTTACCTTGTGTAACTAAAACTTGGCACATTTTGACTAATATTTCTCCATTCTGCTTCCTCCACTACCATTTTACTTTTTGCTTCTGTAGCCAGAGTACTTAATCAAGAAAAAAAAGTAAAACGCACCTATATTGGAAAGGAATTAGTAAGATTATCTGTTTGCAGATCGTATAATCTAAATATCTAAAACAAAACAACAACAACAAAAAAAAAAACATTCTAAAGACAACACCAAAATAAGAAAAAATAAACAAATTGAGCAAAATCGCAGTTTTTAAAATCAGCCTATAAAACTCACTTGCATTTCTAGACACTAACATCAAATTATCCAAAAAAGGAAATTAAGAAAAACAATCTCATTTATAATATCATCAAAAATAATAAAATACAAATAAATTTAATGGATGTGAAAGACTTGTACTCTGAATGCTGTGATTGTTTTTTTCCTTGTGTCATATTAAGTCTCAGAAATTTTTCCAAGAGAGAATTCCTGTACACAGAACTGCTCATAGGTCATTTAAGACTTGCCCTGTGATGATTTGGACGGTTCTACAGTAGACCTTTTCTTGGTAAATCTAAGCCAATGACTTTTAGACTTTTGTAACCACCAAAGGGAGTAAGACATAGATCTTACATCATCCCCAACATACACATGACATTCACACACAACTGAAACATATCATGAACAACACTAACTTATGTGTGATACAATCTGATATATTCCGTCTCCTATTTTTTTAGGACTCAACTTTTGCTTTAAATGTTTCTTTGGGTGGGAAGACACCACATTTCTATGCAGTTAAGGGAAACATGTTTTTTTTTTTTTTTTTGTTTTTTTTTTTTTAGAGTTCTTATTTTTATTGTTTTGCCATGAATTTGTAGGGAATAAGTTTCAGCAGCTCAGACTCCTTTCCATTGGTTTTCACAAAGTATGTTCTCTAGGTAGAGCAGGTTTCCTTCTTTTTTTATTATTTTTCTTCACAAGTTTCAGAAGATATTTTGGCTCTTAGAGTGCTTAATATGCTTAATGAGCACATTAATTCTCTTGGCAAGAATCTTGCCCTTGTTTACTTACAACAGTGCAGATGCATGCTGAGTAACATTCAGGCTCTTCCAGTTTTGTGCTGATAACATTTGTGAGGCATTTCTTTTTCAATAATGCTCATTTCCTTGATGTCTACATTGTTAGCTTTCCTGTAGATTCACATGTATGTGGCCAAAGGGAAAACTCCTTGTTTCTTGAATGGCCTAGAGAGCCATTTGCAGTAGCATACACTTGTAATCCTAGCAACTTGATAGGCTGAGGCAGAAGGAGTAGAAGTTCAAGGCCAGCCTGCATAATTTAGCTCCTGTTGAAATAAAAAATAAAAAGTGCTGAGAATGTAGTTCAGTGGTAGAGCATCCACGATTCAATCTCCAATACAAAAAAAAAAAAAAAATTGAATTTGAGGCCCTTCTAGTGAGAGCAACATGCAATCTGAAAGTCAGCTCTATAGACAAGTGACTCAAAAATTCCTCTTTCAACCGGGCACAGTGGTGTATATCTATATATTTCAGCTATTCTGGAGACTGGAAAGAAGATTGCAAAATGTTCCAGGCCAACCTGGACAACTTAGCAAGGCATTTTCTCAAAATAAAAAATTTTAAAAGAGCTGGGGATATAGTTCAGTAATAGAAGCACTCTAGGTTTAATCTCTAATATTTCTAGAAAGGAAGGGAGGGAGAGGGAGAGAGAAAACAAAAAATATCTCTTTTTTCATAATGGAGTGTTGAATGATGAGACTATCCCACACATCTGGAAAAAGCTCCCCCCTCCTCTGAAACAATGCTCTTTTCCTGTGTGATATTCCCATCAAGGGTTGGGGAAGGTCTACACTACATGTCTATTTTGGTGCCAATACCATGTCATTTTTGTTACTATAGCTCTTGTAGTATAGTTAAAGGTCTGATATTATGATGCCTCCTGGTTCACTCTTCTTGCTAAGGATTGTTTTGGCTATCCTGGGTCTCTTATTTTTCCAAATTAATTTCATGATTGCTTTTTCTTTCTATAAGGAATGCTGTCGGGATTTTAATTTTAATTGGAATTGCATTAAACATGTATAACGCTTTGGGTAGTATGGCCATTTTGACAATATTAATTCTTCCTATCCAAGAACATGGAAGATCTTTCCATCTTCTAAGGTCTTCTTCAATGTCTTTCTTTAGTGTTCTGTAGTTTTCATTATATAGGTCTTTCACCTCTTTTGTTAGATTGATTCCCAAGTTTGTTGTTTTGAGGCTTTTGTGAATGAAGTAGTTATCTTAATTTCTCTTTTGAGGGTTCATCATTGATATATAGAAATGTGTTTGATATTTATGAGTACTGATTTATATCCTGCTACTTTGCTGAATTCATTTATTAATTCTAGAAACTTTCTGGTGGAGTTTTTTGGATCCTCTAAGTATAGAATCATGTCGGCAAATAGCAATAGTTTGAGTTCTTTTCCTATTCATATACCTTTAATTTCTTTCGTCTGTCTAATTGCTCTGGCTAGAGTTTCAAGGACTGTGTTGAATAGGAGTTCTGAGAGAGGGCATCCCTGTCTTGTTCCAGTTCTTAAAGGGAATGTCTCCAATTTTTCTCCATTTACAATAATGTTGGCCTGTGGCTTAGCATAGATAGCTTTTACAGTGTTGAGATATGTTCCTGTTATCTCTAGTTTTTCAAGTGTTCTGAACATGAAAGGGTATTATGTCTTATCAAATGCTTTTTCTGCATCTATTGAGATGATGATCATATGATTTTTAGCTTTAAGTCTGTTGATGTGATAAATTACATTTATTGATTTCTGTATGTTGAACCAACCTTGCATCCCTGGGATGAACTCCACTTGATCATGGTGCGCTATTTTTTAAATGTATTTTTGTATGCAGTGTGCCAGAATTTTATTGATAATTTTTGCATCTATGATCATCAGGGATATTGGTCTGAAGTTTTCTTTCCTTGATGTGTCTTTGTCTGGCTTAGGTATCAGGATGACACTAGCCTCATAGAATGAATTTGGAAGCGTTTCTTCCTTTTCTATTTCCTGGACCAATTTGAGGAATATTGGTATTAAAATTCTTTTTGTAGGTCTTATAGAACTCGGCTGAGAATCCATCTGGTCCTGGGTATGAGATATATATATAATTTGTTTTGTTTTTGTTATAGGTGGACACAATATCTTTTTATTTTATTTTCATGTGATGCTGAGGATCAAGCCAAGTGCCTCATGCATGCTAGGCAAGCACTCTACCTCTAAGCCATAATCCCAGTCCTGTTGGTAGGCTTTTGATGGTGTCTTCTATTTCACTGCTCAAAATAAATTTGTTTAAATTGTGTATGTCCTCCCAATTAAGTTTGGGCAACTCATATTTCTCCAGAAATTTGTTGGTGTCTTTGATATTTTCAATTTTATTGGGGTATAAATTTTCAAAGTAGTTTCTAATTATCCTCTGTATTTCAATGGTATCTGTCGTGACATTTCCTTTTTCATCATGAATTTTAGTAATTTGAATTTTCTCTCTCCTTCTTTTCCTTAGGATGGCTAAGGGTTTATGAATTTTTATTTTTTCAAAGAACCAGCTTTTTGTTTTGTCAATTTTTTCAGTTGTTTCTATTTCATTGATTTTAGCCTTGATTTTAATTATTTCCTGTCTTCTACTACTTTTGGTATTGATTTTGTCTTCTTTTTCTGGGGCTTTGAGATATAATATGAGGTCATTTATTTGTTGACTTCTTATTCTTTTAATGCTCAATGCAATGAAATTTCTTAGCACTCCCTTTATAGTGTCCCAGAAATTTTGGTGTGTTGTATCGGAATTGTCATTTACCTCTAAGAATTTTTTTTTATCTCCTCCCTGATGTATTCTGCTATCCATGCATCATTCAATAGTATATTATTTAGTCTCCAGGTGTTAGAGTAGCTTCTGTTTTTTATTTTATCATTGGTTTCTAATTTCATTCCATCATGGTCTGATAGAATGCAGGGTACTCTCTCTATTTTTTTTATATATATTTGCTAAGAGTTGCTTTATGGTATAACATAGGGTCCATTTTAGAGAAGGATTCATGTGTTGCTCAGGAAAAAAAGTATATTCTCTCATTGATGGATGAAATATTATATATATATATGTTAAGTCTAAGTTACTGATTGTATTATTGACTTCTATGATTCCTTTGTTTAGTTTTTGTTTGGAAGATGTTTCCACTGATGAGAGAGGTGTGTTAAAGTCACCAGTATTATTGTGTTGTGGTCTGTTTGATTCTTGAAATTGAGAAGGGTTTGTTTGATGTAAATACATGCTCTATTGTTTGGAGCATAAATATTTACGATTGTTATGTCTTGTTGATGTATGATTCCCTTAAGCAGTATGAAATGTCTTTCTTTATCCCTCCTGAGTAACTTTGGTTTGAAGTCCACTTTATCTGATATAAGGATGTAAACCACTGAACAGAAGACACAGAGAGAAACCCACATAAATGCAGGTGTCTCTTACTAGACAAAGGCACTGAAAACATGCATTGGAGAAAAGATAACCTCTTCAACAAATGGTATAGGGAAAACTGGAAGTCCATATGCAGCAAAATGAAATTAAACCCCTATCTCTCACCATGCACAAAGATCAACTCAGAGAGGATCAAG